TCTTATGGGCGTCCAAGCTTGCCGTTTGCCAGCCCCTAAACCCCTAAAACCCTCCAAACCCTCCAAACCCTCCAAACGCTCCAAACCCCTCAAACCCTCCAAACCCCTAAAACCCTTCTTATGGGCGTCCAGCGCAGGCAATAGCTACCCGATTCGCAGCCAACAGGCATCCCAAGGCCACATCAATGGCTTCTTATGGGCGTCCAAGCTTGCCGTTTGCCAGCCCCTAAACCCCTAAAACCCTCCAAACGCTCCAAACCCCTAAAACCCTTCTTATGGGCGTCCAGCGCAGGCAATAGCTACCCGATTCGCAGCCAACAGGCATCCCAAGGCCACATCAATGGCTTCTTATGGGCGTCCAAGCTTGCCGTTTGCCAGCCCCTAAACCCCTAAAACCCTCCAAACCCTCCAAACGCTCCAAACCCCTAAACCCCTTCTTATGGGCGTCCAGCGCAGGCAATAGCTACCCGATTCGCAGCCAACAGGCATCCCAAGGCCACATCAATGGCTTCTTATGGGCGTCCAAGCTTGCCGTTTGCCAGCCCCTAAACCCCTAAAACCCCCCAAACCCTCCAAACGCTCCAAACCCCTAAAACCCTCCAAACCCCGAAAACCCTTCTTATGGGCGTCCAGCGCAGGCAATAGCTACCCGATTCGCAGCCAACAGGCATCCCAAGGCCACATCAATGGCTTCTTATGGGCGTCCAAGCTTGCCGTTTGCCAGCCCCTAGACCCCTAAAACGCTTAAAACGTTCCAAACCCTCCAAACGCTCCAAACCCCTAAAACCCTTAAACATACGCTTTTTCCTTCACAGCGCCGTCCTTGACGGAAAACTTATTGCCACACACTGTGCGATGGTCTATTTGCCCTGTCTTCACGTCACTGGCCACATTCCCTTTGCACGCGGGGCAAACGTAAACATACGCTTTTTCCTTCACAGCGCCATCCTTCACAGAAAACTGATTCCCACACACTGTGCGATGGTCTATTTTTCCTGTCTTCACGTCACTGGCCACATTCCCTTTGCAAGCGGGGCAAATGTAAACATACGCTTTTTCCTTCACAGCGCCATCCTTCACAGAAAACTGGTTCCCACAGACCGTTCGATGGTCTATTTTTCCTGTCTTCACGTCACTGGCCACATTCCCTTTGCAAGCGGGGCAAATGTAAACATACGCTTTTTCCTTCACAGCGCCATCCTTCACAGAAAACTGGTTCCCACAGACCGTTCGATGGTCTATTTTTCCTGTCTTCACGTCACTGGCCACATTCCCTTTGCAAGCGGGGCAAATGTAAACATACGCTTTTTCCTTCACAGCGCCATCCTTCACAGAAAACTGGTTCCCACAGACCGTTCGATGGTCTATTTTTCCTGTCTTCACGTCACTGGCCACATTCCCTTTGCAAGCGGGGCAAATATAAACATACCCTTTCGCAACGACCTGCGCGTCCCACACCTGGAAACGGTTCCCACATGCACGCCGGTGATCTACCTGGCCCGCTCGTATACTGCTCGTCACAGACTTTTGGCAAGCGGGACAAACATATTGGAAACTTTTGCCTTTCGTCTCTGCTTTTGCTTCCTTCGCCAGCACCGTCACCGGCTCCGTCATCTCCCACCTTCCAGTTTGGAAAGATCTTTTCTTGCTACACGATGAGCTCAAACATCTCCCCAGATCGCTGGATGTGTTCCGAAAGATTGAGGGGAACCCTGCTCTTAGCTCCCACCTTTATGGGGGGGTCGGCGGCACTAGGGCGTTAGCCCATTCTATTGTAAAGAAACAGTTTTCATATTATTTTAACATGCACCTTTTTCGTTCAAAAACATTTTTATGCCGGCCCAGCAGCCGAACGCAAACATTCCGCTACCGGTCCATTAAGCAAAACAAAAGGTTCTGTTACCGGCTCAGTAAACAAAACAAAACAAAGCAACATTAAGAACCATGAGGTCTAACTTTTTGCAATCAACAGATCCTTCCACTGGTAACGTTACTTTTTCAGGCTTGGAACCATGAGTTTCAAACTTTGGGAATCCGCAGTTCCTTACAATGATAGCTGCTTAGCTTCGAAAACATAAATTCTAACTTCTGGGAACCGGCAATTCCTTGCAATGGTAACCTCTGGTTCCCAGGTTGGGAACCGTAAGTTTCAAGGTCTGGGAACCGGCAGTTCCTTGCCATGGTAAACTTTTGTTCCCACGTTGGGAACCATCAGTTCCAACCTTTTCTATCTGGGGTCTATGCCAGTGTAATTTGATGTTAAAGTAAAAAATGCCTACAGCAAACACATTTAGAACCTAGAAACCGTCAAACAATCATTTTAGCGACGCACAATTACTTAGAACGTAATTGTTTCCTATTTTTTCTACTTAGAACGTAGGCATAATTTGAACACTTACAAGGCAAACCAACACTTAGAAGGTACTTTCAACACTTAGAACTTAAACCAACACTTAGAACGTAGGGGCCAATTCAACATTTAGAACTTAAACCAACACTTAGAACGTAGGGGCCAATTTAACACTTAGAACGCAAACCGACACTTAGAACGCATGGGGGCCAATTCAACACTTAGAACGCAAATCAACAATAAGAACGTAGGGGCCAATTCAACACTTAGAACTTAAACCAACAATTAGAACGTATACAGGGGCCAATTCAACACTTAGAACGCAAATCAACACTAAGAACGTAGGGGCCAATTCAACACTTAGAACGCAAATCAAGACTAAGAACGTAGGGGCCAAAACAATCCAATTCAACACATAGAACTTAAACCAACACTTAGAACGTAGGGGCCAATCCAACACTTAGAACGCAAACCAACACTTAGAACGTAGGGGCCAATCCAACACTTAGAACGCAAACCGACACTTAGAACGTAGGGGCCAATTCAACACTTAGAACGCAAATCAACAATAAGAACGTAGGGGCCAATTCAACACTTAAAACTTAAACCAACATTTAGAACGTATACAGGGGCCAATTCAACACTTAGAACGCAAACCAACACTTAGAACGTAGGGGCCAATTCAACACTCAGAACGCAAACCAACACTTAGAACGTAGGGGCCAATTCAACACTTAGACCGCAAACCAACACTTAGAACGTAGGGGCCAATTCAACACTTAGAACGCAAACCAACACGTAGAACGTAGGGGCCAATTCAACACTTAGAACTTAAACCAACACTTAGAACGTAGGGGCCAATTCAACACTTAGAACGCAAAACAGCACTTAGAATGTAGGGGCCAATTCAACACTTAGAACGCAAACCAACACTTAGAACGTAAGGGCCAATACATGTCAATTGGTCCCTGAGTGGCTTCGCATAGTGCGGCAACATGATTTCACACGCTTTTCCCAGTATCATCATTGACCTAGACGCGTTCTAAATGTTAAATTTTGGGTACGTTCTAAGTGATGAATTTTAGGTCTCAGCAGCTCTGATGAACAATTTTTCCAAAATACGTTCCAAGTAATTGTTTGTCACTATTCAAAAAAATATAGAAACTGTCAAACATCGACATTTGGATGATAGTGTTGCCAGCCCGCTATGGATCCCCACGGCGAGAGCCAAGGTGCCACCACCCGAAGGGACTGGCCAGCTGCATCTTCCACTGCAACTCCGCAGGCTGTCCGACCTGGACATGGCGAATCCTTGGGGAAAACTGGCAGGGTGGCTCTTATGTTCTTTAAGTAAAAGAAAATGTTGGTTTAACTTAACCATGTTTAACCAAGAAAAAATGTAACAAGGCTTAATCACCAGCAAACAGTGCGTGTAAGGAAAAGCCAGGAACAATTGTGGAAATCCTATTCTGCGATGATTTTCCTTCAAAATTGGACAGGTCTTAGCAACACCCCCACTTGCTCTTGATGAGATCGCCCTTGATTGCCCCACTTGCTCTTATCTGATGAATCTGCTTAGTTTTGGGATCTTTTGGGAAGGCCCCTGAGAATGCCATTTGAGACCCCCCATGATTGTACATCAAGGGGATTTTCCCTTGCGAGCCTTGCCGTGTTTAGGGTTTTGGGCAAGTGGAATGCAATACCCCCCCAGATCCAAATCCCGGTTTTGAATTGGAGAGGGCAACCCCCCCAACTGTGATGAATTGCTACAAATTACCACCAAAAAATGTATAGTATAGCCCCTACATTGTCATAAATAAAATTCACCGGTGCCAAACTTCTGTCTGATCTCCACCCTGCCATTGGCCTCAAGACCCTGTAGCCCCTCCAGGACCTGTGCATGAGGGGGGGGCACCTGCATGGCCCTGGGAGGCCTCTTGAAAGGTTCTGCTTGCATGGTGCGTGGTGGCAAAACATGATGATCACATTGGAATTTAAAGATTTAAAGACTTCAGCAAACGGATCTGGGCGGCAAAACCATCGACACACCGTCCATTTTGCCGTTTTGCTTGCTGGGGGAAAAATCTCACCAGAAAAGTATGGGGATGACACGGGATCACCGAGTGTCCTTCGTAAAATGTCATCTATGCCATCTTACAAAATGTCCCTTGGCCAATGCACTTGTTGTTTTCTGTCAGCAGCACCTTCGGACCTTCAGCAATTAGGGTCGACCGAGCAAAAGGGCTCTGGAAGAATGCAAATTCGGGTGGCTGCAGGGAAGAGGGATCGAACACTCGACTATCCAAAAACATGCCCAAGTGAAAATGACGACCACAGGCTACTTAGCAACCAACCGCCGCTCCTGCACTCAGATCCCCAGGTGCGTCCGAGGGCGCACTCTTGGAGAACGGTGCTAAGGACAGGCTCTCTGGAAGCATTCACCACTTCAAAAATATGGAAGGCCGCGCGCTGCCAAGCTTCTTTGGATGATTTGTTGCATCTGTCCAGATCTCGGGTAACATCTCAAACAGCTGATTGCTTTGTGATGCATAAAAGGCTGAAAGCTGACAAGCTGTTTGCTAGCTCCAGACATGCCAACAATAAACACACCAAATATCAAACACATTTAGCGCCAATAGATATCAAAGGGTTTGCCTCCCAAGTGCCGAGAGTGTGCCAAGCTTGATGAACCATGCTGAAGCTACGCGCGGTTCCATTGGAATCGCCCAAGCTGGCAACTTTGCACATCTGCCTCACTAAAGCCTTTTCGCGTGGCCTCAGTCAGCAGAAGCTTCCGGAAGTCTGTGAAATCATCTCGGGCATCGACGAGCACTTGATACGACCAGGACAAGGCGCATAGATTGAAACCGCGTACAGACAACAGTGCAGTTTTGGAGCCGAGGCGGCTGACAACCGAACTCAACAAGCCACCGTCGTACACTCCGGCTTTTGCACAAGCCCAAACTACGACAGGCACTGCCATGCTCAAATCCTTTCCTCTGAGTCCTGGAACTGAAGTGTTCAAACGCACCGCTGCAGCTCTCAGGATGTCATCAATGCCGCCTCCAGCGGCAAGAAAACCTTCAACTTGAGGGACTGCATCACGAAGAAGGACAAGGGCCTCCAAGCTGTTTGCTAATTGCTGGGGGTTCATGTCTGGGAGCTTCACGGGGATCTCCCCGACAATGGCGGGAATAATATCCAGCACCTTGGGCACTTCATCCTTGAGCTGCGCACATGCGAAGAGGCAGTTGGACAAATGCTGTGGAATCATGTCCTTTGCTTTGCCGGGGATCTGGGTCACAATGGCTGGCACCGCCTCCAAAACATCAGGCGCAACATCCTTGAGCTGCGCAGATGCCCACAAGCAGTTGGACACTCCTTGTGCGTCCATGTCCTTTGGGATCTCGGCCGCGATGGCTGGCACCATGTCAAGCATAACAGGTGCAACATCCTTGGCTTTTGCGGATGCCCAGAAGATGTTGGAAATCCCTTGTGCGTTCATATCTTTCACCTTGGTAGGCACAGATTTGACCAATGCAGCCAGCAGCTGGGTCGGAATGCTAAATCGATCAGACAACCGCGCAAGGCTCCACAACACATTGGCTGAAGCCTGCGCATTCAGCTGGCCTTGCAGCGCCATATCTTCGACTCGGGCGTGCAGCCTCAGAACCACCGGGCTCTCCCAATCCGTTTGCTCGAGGCATTTCCTCCTGTTCAAGGTCACCAACTGGGTGTAGGCAGCTGATGCATGGATAAAGTCGAAGATCGGGCCACCCATTGTTTCATCCAAAACGTCCATCAGTTCCTTTGCCGATTGGGCTTTCTTCATTCTTAATGTCAATTTCTTCACTTTGGCTTTGTCATCTGCATCATCCTGCTCCCCTGGAGTCTGTTGACCTTTTTGGGCCGATCTCCTTGTCACCTGCCTCTGGGTGGCCATGTGCCCAGACCACCCGAAGCCCTGCACAAAGCTCAGCTGTTGAAGCGCATCAAACAGCAGCCAGGCCAAGCACAGGAGGACCAAGCAGGGCATCGCATGATGGAAACGCCTCGGCCCCCTCGGCATGGCATCTGAAGTGATCATGGCTTTGAATGGCTCAATACACCTATCACTTGCACATACAGAATCCCTGCTGCAAAAAAGGTAATTTCACATGCCGCAGTGTTTATTAGATATATCTAATGCATTCTAAGGCCAACCTTGAATTTTGACTGTAAGTTTGGTGGTCTGACAGCTACGATGGCAGCAAACGCTCCCTTTAGGACCAAATTCATATTGAAATGCCTGGTTCTCTCATTAACTTTTCATGTTCTGCCAAATTTTCAGCCTTTGCAACATATTGCACCGAGCCCACGATGGCATCCCAAAAATGGCTGGCGGTTCTTCTATCACGTCGTCAGCTCAAAAAATGCCGATAATCCTGGCGAAACACACCGATCTTAAGTCCAAAAAATATGGAGAAACACCGGGGAAACATCGCTTTCTCATGCTGGCCCTGGATCCCCAAAACTCCGGCTGGCATAACCCTATGCAACCGTATACAAGAAGCAACCCCTTGATGTCTTTAGATCATAGATGACTTTGCCACAGTGGTGGGTGATTGCCCAGGGCCTAGGGCTCAGAATGCAATACCTTTTTCCGGCCATGCACTTGGCAGAGCTTCGGCAGCAAAGACACTCTGGAACAATTCACCCACAAGAATCCCGCGTTTTACAACAAATTTACTGTAAAGATTGGTTTCAAGAACTTGCCAAGATGATCACAAGCCTCAAGGATTAACAGAGTCACAGTGTGGGTCATCACAAGCTACTCGGCAACCAGCACCCGCTCCTGCACTCAGATCCCCAGGTGCGTCCACAGGAGCACTCTTAGAACCCGGTGCTAAGGGCAGGCTGGCTACATGCATTCACCACCTCAGGTTCTGCGCAGCCGCGCCTGGCCACTTTCCATTAATTTGAAAAATTCTCGCATCTGCGGAGGCTTTTATTATTGTTAGCATACAAGATGAGGGCCAAAAAAACAAAAACGCCAAAGACCAGTGATCGACTCCCAGGAAATCAGCAATTAACCAAGCAAAATACATTGACATGACATACCATTCACGCAGAATTTTAAAGGATTTGAAACCTCAGAGTGCAAGATTTGCTGCGAATATCTGGCAGCTATCGATAGTTCCACTCTGATCGCACAAACTGGCAACTTTGCACAACTGCCTCACTAAATCCTCTCTTCTCCGTTTCGGACCTCAGCAGCCTCTTGAAGTCCTCGAAGTCATCGTCAGTGTCGAGCACTTGATACGACCAGGACAAGGCACACACACCGAAGTCCGGCAAGGCTGACAGTTTGGTACGGGAGCTAAGGCGTCTGGCAACTGAACCCAACAACTCACCATCGTACACTCCACCTTTGGCACAAGCCCAGATTACAACAGGCACTGTGAAACTGAAGTCCTTTCCTTTGAGTTGTGGAAGTAAAATGTTCAAACGTTTGGCTGCAGACCTCAGGATGTCATCCACCCTTCCACCAGCTGCAAGAAAGCCTTTAACTTCAGGGACTGAGTCTTGAAGAAGGACAAGGGCCTCCAAGCTGTTGGACATTTCCTGTGGTGTCATGTTTTGGAGCTTCAAGGGAATTTTCCCGACCATTGCGGGCACAATTTCCAACACCTTCGGCGTTTCACCCTTGAGCTGCGCAGCTGCAAACAGGCAATTGGACAAATGTTGCGGGATCATGTCCGGTGCTTTGTCGGGGATCTGGGCGACAATGGCCGGCACTGCCTCCAAAACATCAGGCGCAAGATCCTTGAGCTGCCCAGATGCCCAAAGGCAGTTGGACAAATGCTGTGGAATCATGCCCTGTGCTTTGCAGGGGATCTGGGTCACAATGGCTGGCACCGCCTCCAAAGCATGAGGCGCAACATCCTTGAGGTGCGCAGATGCCCACAAGCAGTTGGACAACTCTTGTGCGCCCATGTCCTTCGCTCTTTTGGGGATCTGGGCGACAAGGGCTGGCACAATTTCAAGCACAACCGGTGCAACATCCTTCAGCCTGGCAGAGGCCCACATGCAGTTCGACAACTCTTGTGGTTTCATGCCTCTGACCTTGGTAGGCACAGATTTGACTAAGGCAGCCAGAAGCTGGGTTGGTATGCTGAGCTGATTTGCCAACCGCGCAATGCTCCACAAGACATTGGCTGAAGCCTGCGCATTCAACTGGTGTTTCAGTATCATGTCTTCAACCTGGGCATGCAGCCTGCGAAGCACTGGGCTATCCCAATGCCTTTGTTTCAGGTCCCTTTTCCGTTTCAGCCTTTCCAGCTGGGTGTAGGCAGCTGACGCATGGAAAAAGTTGAAGATCGGGCCATCCACTGCCCCATCCAAAACCTCAATCAGCTTCTCAGCTGAATACGCTTTCTTGATGCCTGATGTCAACCTCTTTGCTTCCGCCTTGCCATCTGCATCCGGCTCCCCTCGAGTCGGTTTACGTTGTCGGCTAAACCTCTGGGCCACCTGCTTCTGAGCAGCCCTCGTCCCATGCAAAGCCACGCCCTGCACAAAGCTCAAACGGTGCAGTGCATCAAACACCACCAGCCAGGCTGCGTACAGCAGCAAGCAAGGCACAACACGATGAAAACGCCTGGGCCGCCACGGCATGGCGTCTGAAGTGGCCATGGCTTTGAATGATTTTGAATGGCTCACATATCGCTTGTACATACACAATCCGTGCAGCAAAAAATGTCATTTCACAGGCAGCAGTGTTGGTATGTGTTGATTGTCCAAGGCCAACCCTAAATTTTTGAGTGTAAGCTTGGCGGTCTGACAGCTAAAGTGGTAGCAAAGGCATCCTTTAGGACCAGGTTCATATTGAAATACAGGATGCAGGATTCCCTCATCAACCTGTCATGTTCTACCAAGCGTTCCGCCTTTCCAAAGGTGAGAATGGCACATATGGCACTGAGCCCACGATGGCATCCAAAAAATGGCTGGCGGTTCTTTGATCACGTCGTTCGCTCAAAAAAATGCAGACTAGACGACGGATGGCCCGAGAGCGTAGAGGAGCAGGGTCTTCTCTTGTTAGTATGGAGACACAATCTTACAAACAATATATGAAAGATGTGTTATAGGCAGTCGAGAAGGGGAGTATCAAGACAAAATAGTGAGAAGTGCAAGACAATAGTTTGCATCGCAAACACTTTTACACACAGAAGCTTTTACACACAAACGCTTTTACACACAAAAGCTTTTACACACAGAAGCTTTTACACACAGAAGCTTTTACACAGACGCTTTTACACACAAAGCTTTTACCCACAGAAGCTTTTACATACAGGAGCTTTTACTTACAGAAGCTTTTACACACAGACGCTTTTACACAGACACTTTTACACACAGACACGTTTACACACAAACATGCCAAACAATCAATGGGGCAAGAAATCAAAACATGTAAGCAAGGCCTGAACATGACAGGGGTGACCGGAAAATAAGCATGCCAAACCATAAACAGGTCAAGCAAACATGCACACGAACATGTCTGCGCGAAAGAAGATCTGGAAATGCTTGCGGTCATGTTTGCTCGGACAGTTCCGGTAGCAAACAAACAAACGTTCGTGCCAACCTCAGCAAGGAAATGTGATGCTAAAGTGTTACCCACAAACTCCACAATCCAAAAATCAGTGAATCCCAATGCTCTGGAAATGCTTACAGTCATGTTTGCTCGGACAGTTCAGGTAGCTAACAAAAAATGTTCATGCCAACCTCAGCAAAGAAATGTGATGCTAAAGTGTTACCCACAAACTCCACAACCCCAAAATGAGTGAATCCCACTGTAACCTCATTAATCCATTCATATCTCTTTGGGGCTTTGGGGGTAAAATTAAACATGCCTACTAAACATGCCAAGCAAACAAGTCAGGATTTCTTAAAACTCGCCGGCAAGACCTGAACATGACAGAGACGACCGGATAACAAACATGCCAAACACTCAACGGAACAAGAAAACAAAACATGTAAGCAAGGCCTACACATGCCAGGGGTGACCGGAAAATAAGCATGCCAAACAATAAACAGGTCAAGCAAACATGCACACGAACGGAAATGCTTGCGGTCATGTTTGCTCGGACAGTTCCGGTAGCAAACAAACAAGCGTTCGTGCCAACCTCAGCAAGGAAATGATATGCTAAACTGTTACCCAAAAACTCCACAATCCAAAAATCAGTGAATCCCAATGTAACTTCATTAATCCATTCATATTTCTTTCAGGGTAAAAGTAAGCATGCCTACTAAACATGCCAAGCAAACAAGTCAGGACTGCGTCAAACTTGCCAGCAAGGCCTGAACATGACAGGGATGACCGGAAAACAAACATGCCAAAGAATCAACGGGGCAAGAAAACAAAACATGTAAGCAAGGCTGCTTTTACATACACATTGCCGCTGTCACACAGAAACACCTGTTACACAGAAACCCTGGCGCACACACAGCATTTTACACAGAGACGCTTTAAGACACAAACCCTTTTACACACAGACACTTTTACACACAAAAGCTTTTACACACAGACACTTCTACACAGATGCACTTCTACACACAAACACTTTTACACACAAACATCTTTACACAGAAACACTCTTAATTACACACAAACCCTTTTACACAGAGACACTTTCACACACAAAAGCTTTGACACACAAACACTTTTACACAGATGCACTTGTACACACAAACACTGATACACACAAACATCTTTACACCGAAACTCTCCGACACACAAACACGTTTACACACAAACACTTTTACACACAGAAGCTTTTACACACAAACACTTTTAAACAGATGCAATTTTACATACAATCACTTTTACACACAAACATCTTTACACAGAAACACTCGTACACACAAACCCCTTTTCGTGCGAAAGGGTTACTCCAGCATACGATATATCGCAATTTTACCTCAGTTTTTACCGATCGACCCTCATTTCGTGCGAAAGGGTTGCTCCAGCACACGAAAAACCGCAATTTTACCTCAGTTTTTGCCGATCGACCCTCATTTCGTGCGAAAGGGCTGCTCCAGCACAAGTCAAATCGCAATTTGACCTCAGTTTTTGCCGATCGACCCTCATTTCGTGCGAAAGGGTTGCTCCAGGACAAGTCAAATCGCAATTTGACTTCAGTTTTTGCCGATCGACCCTCATTCCGTGCGAAAGGGTTGCTCCAGGACAAGTAAAATCGCAATTTTACCTTAGTTTTTGCCGATCGACCCTCATTTCGTGTGAAAGGGTTGCTCCGGCACAAGTCAAATCGCAATTTGACCTCAGTTTTTGCCGATCGACCCTCATTTCGTGCGAAAGGGTTGCTCCAGGACAAGTCAAATCGCAATTTGACCTCAGTTTTTGCCGATCGACCCTCATTCCGTGCGAAAGGGTTGCTCCAGCACACGAAAAATCGCAATTTTACCTCAGTTTTTGCCGATCGACCCTCATTTCGTGCGAAAGGGTTGACGTTTCGTGACTCGCCGCCGGTACCACCCTCGGCCTAAAGAGAGAAAGATAAAGAAGGCGAGAGAGAGAAAAAGGAGAGAGAAGAGGAGAGAAGATGAAGATGTGAAGATGAGCAGATGTGAAGATGAGCAGATGTGAAGATGAGCAGATGTGAAGATGAGCAGATGTGAAGATGAGCAGGTGTGAAGATGAGCAGATGTGAAGATGAGCAGATGTGAAGATGAGCAGATGTGAAGATGAGCAGATGTGAAGATGAGCAGGTGTGAAGATGAGCAGGTGTGAAGTTGAGAAGATGTGAAGATGAGCAGATGTGATGAGCAGATGTGACGATGAGCAGATGTGAAGATGAGCAGATGTGAAGATGAGCAGATGTGAAGATGAGCAGATGTGAAGATGAGCAGATGTGAAGATGAGAAGGTGTGAAGATGAGAAGGTGTGAAGATGAGGTGTGAAGATGAGAAGGTGTGAAGATGAGAAGATGAGATACAGACCCCCACTATTGGAAGAACCCAGCGCTCAGACGCTCTCGGGAATAATCATGGCGAAAGGCGAAACATCGATCTAAAATCCCAAAAATCTAAAAAAAAACATCGAAGGATCATCGTTTTTTTCATGCCGGCCATGGATCCCCAAAACTCCAGCTGGCATGACCCTATGCACCCATATAGAAGAAGCAATCCTTTGATGCCCGTTGATGATAGATGACTTTGACACAGTGGTGGGTGATTGCCCAAGGCTCCTCAGAATGCAATCCCTTTTCCGGCCATGCACGTGGAAGAGTCTCGGCAGCAAAGAAACTCTGGAACAATTCAAGGTGGCTGCAACATGCTGCAACCCACGAGAATCCAACGTTGGACATCGTTTGACAATGAATCTACGGTAAAGATTGATAACGATTGCTGGCCCAAAAAAATGCCTAGACTGTCACAACATGTCACAACATGTCACAACACTCAAGAGTTAACAGAATCACAGCGTGGGTCACCACAAGCTACTCAGCAACCAGCAGCCGCTCCTGCACTCTGATCCCCAGGTGCGTCCGAGGAGCACTCTTGGAAACCGGTGCTAAGGGCAGGCTGACTACAAGCATTCACCACCTCAGGTTCTGTGCAAGCGCACCTTTCCACTTTCTGTTTGAAAAACTCGCGCATCTGTGGAAGCGGGAACAGCTATTTTTGCCAGCGTAAACCAAATACCTATTAGATTATTGTGTAAACAATGAGGGCAACCAAAGAATCGTGATGAACTTCCAGAAAATCAACCATGAACCAAGCAAAATACATTGACATGACATGCAATTCATGCAAAAGGATCTGAAACCACAGAGTGCGAGATTTGCTGCGAATATCTGGCAGCTATCGATAGTTCCATCCTGATCGCCCACGCTGGCAGCTTTGAACATCTGCCTCACTAAATCCTCTCATCTTCGTTTGGGACATCAGCAGCGCCTTGAAGTCCTTGAAGTCGGTGTTGAGCACCCGATACGATCAGGACAAGGCACATATACCAAAGTCCGGCAAGGCTGACAGCTTGCTACGGGAGCCAAGCCGCCTGGCAACCGATGCCAACAACTCACCATCGTACACTTCAGCTTTGGCGCAAGCACAGGCTACAACTGGCACTGTGAAACGGAAGTCCTTGCCGAGTCTTGGAAGTAAAGTGTTCAAACGTGCCGCCGCAGAACTCAGGATGTCATTCCCCCCGTCCACCAGCTGCGAGAAAGCCTTCAACTTCAGCAACTGAGTCTTGAAGAAGGACAAGACAAGGGCCTCCACGCTATTCGACAACTGTTGGGGTACCATGTCGTTGATCTTCAACGAGATTTCCCTCACTATGGCTGGAACAATCTCCACCACCTTGGGCACTTCATCCTTGAGTTGCGCGGATGCCCAAAGGCAGTTGGACAATGCCAGTGGGACCATGTCGTTGGCGTTCTTGGGAATCTGGGCCACTATGGCTGGCACAATTTCAAGCACAGTGGATGCAAATGCAACCTCCTTGAGCTTTGCACATGCCCACAAGCTGTTTGAAAGGTTTTGTTCATCCATACCTTTCACCTTGGCAGGCAAAGATTTGACCAATGCAATGAGGAGCTTGGTCGGGATGCTGAAGCGATCAGACAACTGCGCAATGCTCCATAGGACATTGGCTATCCCAATCCTCTTGTTGCAGGCACCTCCTTCTTTTCAAGGTCACCAACTGGGTGTAGGCAGCTGATGCATGGATAAAGTCGAAGATTGAGCCACCCACTGCTTCATCCAAAACGTCAATCAGTTCCTTTGCCGAGGGGGCTTCCTTCATTCGTGACGTCAATCTCTTCACTTCTCTCTTCTCATCTGCATCTTCCTGGACCGATCTCGTCGGTTAACGCTTTCGACTGAACCTCGCCACCTGCCTCTGAGCGAAGTTCAACTGGTGCACCACCAGCCAGGCCAAGCACAGCAGCAGGGAAGGCAGGACATGATGGAAACGCCTGGGTCGCATCAGCATGGTGTCTGAAGTGGCGGTGGCTTCGAATGGCCCAACCCTTGACAAAACTGGGTTTCGCTGATGTAAGCTGCAGAAGTTAAAAAGTCTTCGGCCAGTTCGGATCACAATTGTTGACCATGGTTGACTGCAAGTTGTCTGACCGTGTGGTGAGCTATCATGGCAGCAACCGATTTGGTGTCTTTTCACGTGACAACATATCGCAGCCGCTATGTATATCGAGCCAAAGGCCCATTCACCAAGTAGAGTGAATCGTTCCAAGGGTTCTTGAAGTTTGGCCCTGCATGGGTTCTCAAAAACTCGGCAAACGAAATGCCAAGCGTGCCTCAAAGAAACAACCCGTTGGTCTTGGATGTTTTGGTAAATAAGATCCCCCCGTGTTAGACCCCCGTGTTAGACAAGAGATACACGGGTAGAACATGGTAGAATGTGATCGTTCCTCACCGCTCCTGAGAATTCCACATCTTTTTTCCGACAACGCATTCGGAAGAGTCGGTGCAGCAAACGTCGGAAAGTGAGTGCATGAAACCTAAAGACAAAGTGTGGGTCATCGCAAACTAGGCAGCAAGCAACAAACCCAGGTGCGCCCGAAGAGGCACTCTTAGAAACCGGTTCTGGGGTCCTGCTCTCTGCAAAGTTCACCACCTCAAAATATGGAAAGCCGCCGGCTGCAGTGCTGCCAAGCTTGTTTGAAGAATTATTGAATCATAGGCCATAGGACTTTAAGTGGAAACTTTGAAAGACCATTTGCAGGTACCAAGAGAAAATAAGAAAACTAAATCATCACTTATAGTAATATAGTAACCAGTGTCAACTTCAAACTCACTCTCAAGGAACATGTCAAAAATGTGTATCAACTAGTTCTGTCGTACAGCGCGGGATTCTCCACCAAGCTAATCCCAGATGCGCGATTCCATCTTAATCGCCCACGATGGCAGCCCTCGACATCTGCCTCACTAAATCCTCTCCTCTCAGCTTCTGACATCAGCAGCGTCTTAAAGTCCTCGAAGTCATCTTGAGCATCGAGCACTTGATACGACCAGGACAAAGCACATACGCCAAACCTTGTCAAGGCTGACAGTTTGGTTCGGGAGCCAAGGTGTGTGGCCACCGCACCCAACAACTCACCATCGTACACTCCGGCTTTGGCACAAGCCCAGATGACAACAGGCACTGTGAAGCTGAAGTCCTTCCCTCCGAGTCTTGGAAGTAAACTGTTCAAACGGGCTGCTGCAGACATCAAAATATCATCCATGCCACCAACTTGAGGGACTGAATGACGAAGAAGGACAAGGGTCTCCAAGCTGTTGGACATTTCCTGGGGGTTCATGCCTTGGAGCTTTGCTGGGATCTCCCCGACAATGGCAGGCACGATCTGCAAGGCCTTGGGCGCATAGTCCTTCAGCTGCGCACATGCCAACAGGCAGTTGGACAATGCTTGTGGGGCCATGTCTTTCGCTTTGTTCGGAATCTGGGCCACAATGGCCTGGGTGCGACATCCTTGAGCTGTGCAGATGCCCAAAGGCAGTTGGACAAATGCTGTGGAATCATGTCCTGTGCTTTGCAGGGGATCTGGGCCACAATGGCTGGCACCGCCTTCAAAACATGAGGCGCAACATCCTTGAGCTGCGCAGAAGCCCAAAGGCAGTTGGACAACTCTTGCGGTTTCATGTTCTTTGCTTTCTTGCGGATCTGCATGACGATGGCTGGCACCGCCTCCAAAACATGAGGCGCAACATCCTTGAGCTGCGCAGAAGCCCAAAGGCAGTTGGACAATGCTTGTGGGACCATGACCTTCGCTCTTTTGGGGATCTGGGCCACAATGGCTGGCACCATGTCAAGCATAACAGGTGCAACATCGTTCGCTTTTGCAGATGCCCAGAAGATGTTGGAAATCTCTTGTGCGTTCATATCTTTCACCTTGGCAGGCACAGATTTGACCAATGCAGCCAGCAGCTGGGTCGGAATGCTGAATCGATCCGACAACTGTGTAATGCTCCACAGAACATTGGCTGAAGCCTGCGCGTTCAACTGGTCGTTCAGTATCATGTCTTCAACCTGGGCATGCAGCCTGAGAAGCACCGGGTTATCCATATCTTTTCCTTGCAGACCCCTCTTCCTTTTCAAGGTCACCAACTGGGTGTAGGCAGCTGATGCATGGATAAAGTTGAAGATTGAGCCACCCACTGCTTCATCCAAAACGTCAATCAGTTCCTTTGCCGATTGAGCTTTCTTTATTCCTGATGTCAATTTCTTCGCTTTGGCTTTGTCGTCTGTATCACCCTGCTCCCCTGGAGCCTGTTGACCTTTCTGACTGAACCTCTGGGCCACCTGCCTCTGAGCAGCCCTGGTCCCATACCAGACCACGCCCAGCACGAAGCTCAACTGGTGCAGCACATCCAAAAATAGCTGCCCCAGCGAGGCTGCGCACAGCAGCAAGCAAGGCACAACACGATGAACACCCCTGGGCCGCCTCGACATGACGTCTGAAGTGGCCATGGTTTCGAATGGCACAAAGCACTTGTCGCTTGATATCGCTTGCACAGACACTATGCGTGCAGCAAGAAACTATGTTTCACATGCGGCAGTGTTGATTCGATATATCCAAGGCCAGCCCTAATGTTTGACTGTAAGGTTGGCAGTCTGCCAGCTAAAGTGGTAGCAAAGGCACCCTTTAGGACCAGGTTCATATTGAAATACAGGATTCCCTCATCAACTTTTCATGTTCTGCCAAGTGTTCTGACTTTCCAAAAGGTGAGAATGGCACATATGGCACTGAGCCCACGATGGCATCCAAAAAATTCGCTCAAAAAATGCGGATAATCATGGCGAAACATCGATCTAAAATCCAAAAAAGAAAAAAACATCACGGAAACATCGCTTTTTCATGCCGGCCATGGATCCCCAAAACTCCAGCTGGCATGTCCCTACGCACCCATATAGAAGAAGCAATCTTTTGATGCCCTTTGTTGATAGATGATTTTGACACAGCGGTGGGTGATTGCCCAAGGCTCCTCAGAGTGCAACGCCTTTTTCTGGCCACGCACTTGGCAGAGTCGGTGCAGCAAAAGCATTCTGGAAGAATTTGAGGTGGCTGCAGCCCACAAGAATGAAATGTCTGGCCATCAATCTGCGGTAAATGTTGGTATTCCGAAAAATTGCCTAGACTGTCACAACATGACACAACACGCAAAAGTTGATAGGATCACGGTGTAGGTCACCACAGACTACTCAGCAACCAGCAGCCGCTCCTGCACTCTGATCCCCAGGTGCGTCCAAAGGAGCACTCTTAGAACCAGGTGCCAAGGGCAGGCTGCAAGCATTCACCAGGTTCTGTGCAAGCACACCTTACCACTTTCTATTTGAAAAACTCTCCCGTCTGTGGAATCCCGCTTTGAGCAGCTATTGTTGCTAGTGGGATTGAAACCAATACCTATTATTGTTGGCGTAAGCGATGAGGGCAACCAAAGAATCGTGATCAACTTCCAGAAAATCAACCATGAACCAACCAAAATACATTGACATGACATGCGATTCATGCAAAAGGATCTGAAACCACAGAGTGCGAGATTTGCTGGGAATATCTGGCAGCTATCGATAGTTCCATCCTGATCGCCCGAGCGGGCAACTTTGAACATCTGCCTCACTAAATCCTCTCTTCTCCGTTTCGGACATTAGCAGCGTCTTGAAGTCCTCGAAGTCACCGTCGGTGTCGAGCACTTGATACGACCAGGACAAGGCGCACACACCGAAGTCCGGCAAGGCTGACAGCTTGCTACGGGAGCCAAGGCGCCTGGCAACGGCACCCAACAACTCACCGTCGTACACTCCGGCTTTGGAGCAGGCCCAAATGACAACCGGCACTGCAAAACTCAAGTCCTTTCCCCTGAGTCTTGGAAGTAAACTGTTCAAACGGGCTGCTGCAGACCTCAAAATCTCATCCACGCCACCAACTTCAGGGACTGAATCACGAAGAAGGCCAAGGGCCTCCAAGCTGTTGGACAAATCCTGGGGACTCATGTCTTTACTCTTAACAGGGATCTCCCCTACAATGGCCAAGATGATGTCCAACACCTGCGGCACTTCTTTCTTGAGCTGCGTAGCTGCCAACAGGCAGTTGGACAATTCTTGCGGCTTCATGTCTTTGGCTTTGTTGGGGATCTGGACCGCGATGGCAGGCACAGCATCCAACACATGAGGCGCAACATCCTTGAGCTGCGCCGATGCCCAAAGGCAGTTGGACAATCCCTGTGGCACCATGTCTGTTGCTCTCTCTGGAATCTGGGCCACAATGGACGGCACCGCCTCCAAAACATCAGGCGCAACATCCTTGAGCTTCGCACATGCCCAAAGGCAGTTGGACAAATGCTGTGGGACCATGTCCTTCGCTCTTTTGGGAATCTGGGCCACTATGGCTGGCACAATTTCAAGCACAGTGGATGCAAATGCAACCTCCTTGAGCTTTGCACATGCCCACAAGCTGTTTGAAAGGTTTTGTTCATCCATACCTTTCACCTTGGCAGGCAAAGATTTGACTAAGGCAGCCAGAAGCTGGGTTGGTATGTTGAGCTGATTTGCCAACTGCACAATGCTCCACAACACATTGGCTAAAGCCCGCGCTTCCAGCTGGTCTTCCCCCATCATGTGTTCAACTCGGGTGTGCAACCTGAGAAGCACTGGGCTATCCCAATCGCTTTGTTGCAGGTCCCTTTTCCGTTTCAACCTTGCCAGCTGGGTGTAGGCAGCTGACGCATGGAAAAAGTTGAAGATCGGGCCATCCACTGCCCGATCCAAAACCTCAATCAGCTTCTCAGCTGAATACGCTTTCTTGATGCTTGATGTCAACCTCCTGGCTTCCACCTTGCCATCTGCATTGAGCTCCCCTGGAGCCTGTTGACCTTTCTGACTGAACCTCTGGGCCACCTGCCTCTGAGCAGCCCGGGTCCCATCCCACGCCACGCCCTGCACGAAGTTCAACTGGTGCACCACCAGCGAAGCTGCGCAGAGCAGCAAGCAAGGCACGGCACGATGAAAACGCCTGGGCCGCCTCCGCATGGCATCTGAAGGGGCCATGATTTCGAATGGCTCAATACACTTATCGCTTGCACATACACAATCCGTGCAGCAAAAAAAACATTTCACATCTAGCGATGTTGATTGGATATATCCAAGGCCAACCCTAAATTTTGACTGCAAGTTTGGTGGGCTGACAGCTCAAGTGGTAGCAAAGACGCCCTTTAGGACTAGGTTCATATTGAAATAAAGGATTCCCTCATTAACGTTTCGTGTTCTGCCAAGTGTTCGGCCATTGCAAAGGTGAGAATGGCACATATTGCACGCAGCCCACGGTGGCATTCCAAAAATGGCTGGCGATTCTTCGATCACGTCGCTGGCTCCAAGAATGCAAATAATCCTGGCAAAACATCGATCTAAAATCCCCCCCCCAAAAAAAAACATCGAGGAAGCATTGCGTTCTCATGCCCTGGATCCCCAAACTCCCACCAGCATGTCCCTACGCACCCAGACAAGAAGCAGGTAGATATCCTATGATCATAGATGAGAGTTTGACACAGTGGTGGGCGTTTGCCCAGGGTTCCTCAGAATGCAATACCTTTTTCCGGCCATGCACGTGGCAGAGTCTCGGCAGCAACGGCACTCTGGAACAATTCAAGGTGGCTGCAACCTACGAGAATCCAACGCTTGACAATCAATCTACGGTAGAGATTGGAGTACAAAAGTGCCTAGATTGAGTTAATCGAATCGCGGTGTGGGTCATGACAGGCTACTCAGCAATCAGCAGCCGCTCCTGCACTCAGATCCCCAGGTGCGTCCAAAGGAGCACTCTTAGAACCCGGTGCCAAGGGCAGGCTGACCAGAAGCATTCACCAGGTTCTGTGCAAGCACACCTTTCCACTTTCTATTTGAAAAACTCTCGCGTCTGTGGAATCCCGCTTTGAACAGCTATTTTTGCCAGCGTAAACCAAATAATACCTATTAGATTATTGTGTAAACAATGAGGGCAACCAAAGAATCGTGATCAACTTCCAGAAAATCAACCATGAACCAACCAAAATACATTGACATGACATGCGATTCATGCAAAAGGATCTGAAACCACAGAGTGCGAGATTTGCTGGGAATATCTGGCAGCTATCGATAGTTCCATCCTGATCGCCCGAGCGGGCAACTTTGCACAATTGCCTCACTAAATCCTCTCTTCTTCGTTTCGGACATCAGCAGCGCCTTGAAGTCCTCGAAGTCATCGTCGGTGTCGAGCACTTGATATGACCAGGACAAGGCGCATACACCGAAGTCCGGCAAGGCTGACAGCTTGGTACGGGAGCCAAGGCGCGTGGCCACCGAATCCAACAACTCATCATCGTACATTTCGGCCATGGCACAAGCCCAAACTACAACTGGCACTGTGAAACTGAAGTCCTTTCCTCTGATTCTTGGGAGTAAAGTGTTCAAACGCGCCGCTGCAGACCTCATGATGTCATCCATGCTTCCACCATCTTTGAGAAAAACTTCAACTTCAGGGACTGAGTCATGAAGAAGGACAAGCGCCTCTAAGCTGTTCGACAACTGCTGGGGGCTCATGTCGCTGATCTTCAACGAGATTTCCCCCACTATGGCTGGAACAATCTCCACCACCTTGAGCACTTCATCCTTGAGCTGCGCACATGCAAAGAGGCAGTTGGACAAATGCTGCGGGATCATGTCCTGTGCTTTGCCGGGGATCTGGGTCACAATGGCTGGCACCGCCTCCAAAACATCAGGCGCAACATCCTTAAGCTGCGCAGATGAAGACAGTTGGACAATCCTTGTGCGTCCATGTCCTTGGCTTTCTTGGGAATCTGCGCCACAATGGCTGGCACCATTTCAAGCATAACAGGCGCAACATCCTTGACTTTTGCGGATGCCCAGAAGATGTTGGAAATCCCTTGCGCATTCATGCCTTTCACCTTGGTAGGCACAGATTTGACCAATGCAGCTAGGAGCTGGGTTGGTACGCTGAACCTCTCAGACAATTGAGCAAGGCTCCACAAAACATTGGCTGAAGCCTGCGCATTCAGCTGGTCTTGCAGCGCCATATCTTCAACTTGGGCGTGCAGTCTGAGAAGCGCCGGGCTCTTCCAATCCGTTTGCTCGAGGCATTGCCTCCTTTTCAAGGTGACCAACTGAGTATATGCAGCTGATGCATGGATAAAGTCGAAGTATAGGCCATCCATTGCTGCATCCAACACCTTAACCAGTTCCTTTGCCGAGGGGGCTTTCTTCATTCGTGACGTCAATCTCTTCACTTCTCTCTTCTCATCTGCATCTTCCTGGACCGATCTAGTCGGTTGAGGCTTTCGACTGAACCTCTGGGCCACCTGCCTCTGAGCAGCCCGGGTCCCATCCCACGCCACGCCCTGCACGAAGTTCAACTGGTGCACCACCAGCCAGGCCAAGCACAGCAGCAGGGAAGGCAGGACGCGATGAAAACGCCTGGGTCGCATCAGCATGGTGTCTGAAGTGGCCATGGCTTCGAATGGCCCAACGCTTGACAAAACTGGGTTTCACTGATGTAAGATGGAGAAGTTAAAAAGTTCGGCCAGTTCGGATCACAATTGTTGACCATGGTTGACAGCAAGTTGTCTGATCGTGTGGTGAGATTTGTGAGCTATCATGGCAGCAACTCAGCGATTTGGCATCAGGGATGTCTCACATTACAACATATCGCAACCGCTCTGAATAACAAACATTAGAGATTTCTTCACTGATTCATCAAGCCATAGGACAATTTGCCAATTAGCGTGAATCGTTTCAAGGGTTCTTGTACGTTGGCCCTGGGTTCTCAAAAACTCGGCAAACGAAATGCCAAGCGCACCGCAAAGAAGCGACGGGTTGGTTTTGGTAAATCAGAACCCTGTGTTAGACAAGATATAGACTATAGACAGGTAGAGTGTGATCGTTCCTCACGGCTTCCTAGAATGCCACACCTTTTTCCCGACAACACTTTCGGAAGAGTCGGTGCAGCAAAAGTTATAAGGATTAAGATTACAGTGGCTACAAAGCGCAGCAATCCAAAAGAGTCAAGCATTTGAAAGTAAATTTATGTAAATCTACAGTAATTAAACCTACAGTCAATTTACAGTAAATCTATGTAAACCTACTGTAAACCGACAGTGCAAGTGTATGAGACCAAAGGACCCCAAACCAAAATACAATGTGGGTCACCACAGGCTACGCTGCAATCAACAGTCGCTCCTGCACTCAGATCCCTAGGTGCGTCCGCAGGAGCACTCTTGGAAACAGGTGCTAGGGGCAAGCTGACTACCGGCATTCACCACCTCAAAGTATGGAAAGCCGCGCGCTGCCAAGTTTGTATTGAAGAACTCTTTCATCTTCGGACTCTAGGTGCAAAAATTGAAACCACTTGCTGGTCCTGGTGCCAACCCCCTAAACAAACAACAAAATTCGTAGCCAATAGCATGAGTAGCCAATTTCCCCTTCACACTCATTCTGCAACATGCCAAAAATGTGTGTCAGCTAGTTCCCTTGTACAGCGCGGGACTCTCCATCAAACTAATCACGATGCCTGATTCCATCCGAACCGCCCACGCTGGCAGCTCTGTATATCTGCCTCACTAAATCCTCTCCGCTGAGCTTCTGACATCAGCTGCGTCTTGAAGTCCTCGAAGTCATCATCGGTGTCGAGCACTCGATACGACCAGGACAAGGCACATAGATTGAAGGCGGGCACCGATAAGGTTGACAGGGTGCTACTGGACCCAAGGCGCCGAGCAATCGAATCCAGCAACTCACTATCGAACACTCCGGCTTTGGCACAAGCCCAAACTACCACAGGCACTGCGAAACTCAAGTCCTTTCCTTTAACTTTTGGAAACAAGGTGTTCACGCGCGTGGCTGCGGACGTCAAAATGTCATCCATGCTGTCACCAGCCGTGAGAAACCGTTCAACTTCAGGGACTGAATCACGAAGAAGGACTAGAGCGTCCACGCTGTTGGACAACGCTTGTGGGACCATGCCGTTGATCTTCAACGAAGTTTCACCCACTATGGCTGGCAAGATTTCCAACACCTTCGGCGTTTCATCCTTGAGCTGCGCAGCTGCAAACAGGCAATTGGACAAATGTTGCGGGATCATGTCCGGTGCTTTGTCGGGGATCTGGGCGACAATGGCCGGCACGGCCTGCAAAACTTCAGGCACAACAGCCTTGAGCTGCCCAGATGCCCACAGGCAGTTGGACAATTCTTGTGGTTTCATGCCTTTCACCTTGGTAGGCACAGATTTGACCAATGCAGCTAGGAGCTGGGTTGGTACGCTGAACCTCTCAGACAATTGAGCAAGGCTCCACAAAACATTGGCTGAAGCCTGCGCGTTCAGCTGGTATTTCAGTGCCATGTCCTCAACTCGGCCGTGCAGCCTGAGAAGCGCCAGGCTATCCCAATCCGTTTGCTCGAGGCATTTCCTCCTTTTCAAGGTCACCAACTGGGTGTAGGCAGCTGATGCATGGATAAAATCGAAGACTGGGCCACCCATCGCTTCATCCAAAACGTTAATAAGTTCCTTTGCCGAGGGAGCTTTCTTCATTCGTGACGTCAGCCTCTTCACTTTGGCTTTGTCATATGCATCCGGCTCCCCTCGAGTCGGTTTACGTTGTCGGCTGAACCTCTGGGCCACTTGCCTCTGAGCAGCCCTGGTCCCATACCAAACCACACCCTGCACGAAGCTCAACCGGTGCAGCACATCAAATAGCCCCAGCGAAGCTGCGCACAGCAGCAAGCAAGGCACGACACGATGAAAACGCCTGGGCCGCCTCGACATGGCATCTGAAGTGGCCATGGCTTCAAATGGTTCAATACACTTACCGCTTGCACATACGCAATCCGTGCAGCAAAAAAAACATTTCACATCTAGCAATGTTGATTGGATATATCCAAGGCCAACCCTAAATTTTGACTGTAAGTTTGGTGGGCTGACAGCTCAAGTGGTAGCAAGGTCAAGGGATCATCCGCGCACGCAAATCCAGATCACATGTACACGCAGAGACCTTTTTCTAGCCTTACGATCATCTGCGCACGCAGCTGATAATCACATGTACACACAAGTGAGCCCCGCGATCACATGTACACGCAAGTGAGTTCATCTGCGCACGCAGATGATGATCACATGTACACGCATGTACTCTGCAACCGCAATCACATGTACACACCACTACTCTTAAATTTTATTTAATTGTAAGAAGAGCCACGACCCCTTTAGGGTTTATATGTTGTTGCACTAGATGTAAGAAGAGCCACTACCCCTTTAGGTTTTATATGTGGTTGCACTAGATGTAAGAAGAGCCACGACCCCTTTAGGGTTTATATGTTGTTGCACTTGATGTAAGAAGAGCCACGACACCTTTAGGGTTTATATGTTGTTGCACTTGTTGTAAGAAGAGCCACGACCCCTTTAGGGTTTATATGTTGTTGCACTTGATGTAAGAAGAGCCACGACCCCTTTAGAGTTATTTTTTGTTGTTGCACTTGTTGTAAGAAGAGCCACGACCCCTTGAGGTTTATATGTTGTTGCACTAGATGTAAGAAGAGCCACGACCCCTTTAGGGTTTATATGTTGTTGCACTAGATGTAAGAAGAGCCACTACCCCTTTAGGTTTTATATGTTGTTGCACTAGATGTAAGAAGAGCCACGACCCCTTTAGGGTTTATATGTTGTTGCACTTGATGTAAGAAGAGCCACGACACCTTTAGGGTTTATATGTTGTTGCACTTGTTGTAAGAAGAGCCACGACCCCTTTAGGGTTTATATGTTGTTGTACTTGATGGAAGAAGAGCTACGAGCCCTTTACGGTTTATATGTTGTTGCACTTGATGTAAGAAGGGCCATGACCCCTTTAGGGTTTATATGTGTTGTTGCACTTGATGTAGGAAGAGCCACGACCCCTTTAGGATTTATATGTTGTTGCACTTGATGTAAGAAAAGCCACGACCCCTTTAGGGTTTATATGTTTTTGCACTAGATGTAAGAAGAGCCACGACCCCTTTAGGGTTTATATGTTGTTGCAATTGATGTAGGAAGAGCCACGACACCTTTAGGGTTTATATGTTGTTGCACTTGATGTAAGAAGAGCCACGACCTCTTTAGGGTTTTTATGTTGTTGCACTTGATGTAAGAAGAGCCACGACCCCTTCAGGGTTTATATGTTGTTGCACTTGATGTAAGAAAAGCCATTACCCCTTTAGGGTTTTTATGTTGTTGCACTAGATGTAAGAAAAGGCACTACCCCTTTAGGGTTTTTATGTTGTTGCACTTGATGTAAGAAGAGCCACGAGCCCTTTAGGGTTTTTATGTTGTTGCACTTGATGTAAGAAGAGCCACGACCCCTTTAGGGTTTATATGTTGCTGCACTAGATGTAAGAAGAGCCACAACCCCTTTAGGGTTTATATGTTGTTGCACTTGATGTAAGACGAGCCACGACCCCTTTAGGGTTTATATGTTGTTGCACTTGACAGATAGATAGATAGATAGATAGATAGATAGAAACCCAGCTAGATAGATAGATAACTTACATTAAAGACATTTCCTATTCGCGTGTAGTTCCGATCTTGGCCGCACATAGCCTGCTTCCACCAAATTCGACGCATGGTTGCAGATAGAAACGTCCCATATGCCGCCAGTCTCTATTTTCATTGGTTTTTACACGCAAAAAATGGCCGTTTCCTATTCGCGTGTAGTTGCGATCTGCCCGCGTGTACATGCGATTTTCTTCCCCAAGTCGTTCGCGTGCACATGCGATCTTTATTTCGCGTGTACATGCGACCCCCCGACCTGGTAGCAAAGACGCCCTTTAGGACCAGGTTCATATTGAAATACAGGATTTCCCTCATGAACGTTTCATGTTCTGCCAAGTGTTCGGCCATTGCAAAGGTGAGAATGGCACATATTGCACGCAGCCCACGGTGGCATTCCAAAAATGGCTGGCGATTCTTCGATCACGTCGCTGGCTCCAAGAATGCAGATAATCTTAGCAAAACATCGATCTAAAATCCAAAAAAACTAAATTGAAAAAACATCGAGGAAACATTGCTTTCTCATGCCCTGGATCCCCAAACTCCCACCAGCATGTCCCTACGCACCCATACAAGAAGCAGGTTGATATCCTATGATCATATAGATGAGGTTTGACACAGCGGTGAGCGTTTGCCCAGGGCTCCTCGGAGTGGGACGCCTTTTCCGGCCATGCACATGGCAGAGTCTCGGCAGCAAAGGCACTCTGGAACAATTCAATTTGGCTGCAACCCACGAGAATCCAACGTTTGACAATCAATCTACGGTAGAGATTGGAGTATTTAAAGTGCCTAGATTGAGTTAATCGAATCGCGGTGTGGGTCATCACAGGCTACTCTGCAACCAGCAGCCGCTCCCGCACTCAGATCCCCAGGTGCTTCTGAAGGTGCCAAGGGCAGGCTAACCAGAAGCATTCACCAGGTTCTGTGCAAGCACACCTTTCCACTTTCTATTTGAAAAACTGTCCCGTCTGTGGAATCCCGTTTTGAACGGCTTTTTTTGCCAGCGTAAACCAAATACCTATTAGATCCTATTAGATTATTGTTAGTGTAAACAATGAGGGCAACCAAAGAATCGTGATGAACTTCCAGAAAATCAACCATGAACCAAGCAAAATACATTGACATCACAGGCAATTCATGCAAAAGGATCTGAAACCACAGAGTGCGAGATTTGCTGGGAATATCTGGCAGCTATCGATAGTTCTATCCTGATCGCCCATGCTGGCAGCTTTGAACATCTGCCTCACTAAATCCTCTCTTCTCCGTTTCGGACATCAGCAGCGCCTTGAAGTCCTCGAAGTCATCGTCGGAGTCAAGCACTTGATACGACCAGGACAAAGCACATACACCGAAGTCCGGCAAGGCTGACAGTTTGGTACGGGAGCCAAGGCACCTGGCAACCGCACCCAACAACTCGCCATGGTACACTTCAGCTTTGGCACAAGCCCAAACTACAACCGGCACTGTGAAACTGAGGTCCTTTCCTCTGAGTTTTGGAAGTAAAGTGTTCAAACGTTCCGCCGCAGAACTCAGGATGTCATCCACGCCACCAACTTCAGGGACCGAATCACGAAGAAGGACAAGGGCCTCCAAGCTGTTGGACATTTCCTGGGGTTTCATGCCTTGGAGCTTTGCAGGGATTTCCCCAACAATTGCGGGCAACATGTCCGACACTTCGGGCACATCATCGTTGAGCTGTGCACATGCCAACAGGTTGTTAGACAAGTCTTGTGGGACCATCTTCTGCGCTTTTTTGGGTATTTGCATGACAATGGCCGGCACCGCCTCCAGTACTTCCGGCGCTTCATCCTTGAGCTGCCCCACTGCCCAGAGACAGTTGGACAAAGCTTGCTGAACCATGTCTGTTGCTATGATAGGGATCTGGGCCACAATGGCCGGCACTGCCTCCAAAACCCCGGGCGCAACCTCCTTGAGCTTGGCGCAGGCCCACAAAGTGTTTGAAAGGTTTTGTTCATCCATGCCTTTCACCTTGGTAGGCACAGATTTGACCAATGCAGCCAGGAGCTGAGTCGGAATGCTAAGTCGACCAGACAACTGCGCAATGCTCCAAAAAATATTGGCCGTTTCGCGCGCGCCCACTTGCTCTTCCAGCACCATATCTTCAACTCGGGCGTGCAGCCTGAGAAGCACTGGGCTATCCCACTCCCTTTGTTGCAGGCCTTTCCTTCTCTTCAAGGTGACCAGCTGGGTGTAGGCAGCTGATGCATGGAAAAAGTTGAAAATGTGGTCATCTACAGCCTCATCCAAAATCTCCCTCAGCTTCTGGGCAGATGTCGCTTGCTTTAGGTTGGATGTCAACCTCCTTGCTTTCGCCTTGCCATCTGCATCCGGCTCCCCTCGAGTCGGCTGACCTGTTCCGCTGAACCTCTGGGCCACCTGCCTCTGAGCAGCCCTGGTCCCATACCAGACCACACCCAGCACGATGCTCAACTGGTGCAGCACATCAAAAAATAGCTGCCCCAGCAAGGCTGCACACAGCAGCAAGCAAGGCACGGCACGATGAACACGCCTGGGCCGCCTCGGGATGGCATCTGAAGTGGCCATGGCTTTGAATGATTTTGAATGGCTCAATACACAATATCGCCTGCACATACGCAATCCGTGCAGCAAAAAATGTCATTTCATATCCAGCAATGTTGATTGAATATATCCAAGGCCAATCCTAAAATTTTGTGTGTAAGCTTGGCGGTCTGACAGCTAAAGTGGTAGCAAAGGCACCCTTTAGGACCAGGTTCATATTGAACGCAGAGTGTTGGGCCTAAAGGTGAGAATGGCACATATTGCACTAGTGGCACTGAGCAAATGATGGGGTTGGCATTCAAAAAAATGGCTGGCGATGGCTGGCGATGGCTGGCGGCTCTTCAATCACGTAGCTGGCTCAAAAAGAAAGGATATTCCTGGCGAAACATCGATCTAAAATCCAAGACATATGAAGAAACACCGAGGAAACATCGCTTTCTCCTACTGGCCCTGGATCCCCAAAACTCCAGCTGGCATAACCCTATGCAACGATATAGAAGAGGCAACCCCTTGATGTCTTTAGATCATAGATGATTTTGACACAGTGGTGGGTGATTGCCCAAGGCTCCTCAGAATGCAATACCTTTTTCCGGCCATGCACGCGGCAGAGTTTCGGCAGCAAAGCCACTCTGAGACAACAATCCAAAAATGGCTGGCGATTCTTCGATCACGTCGCTGGCTCCAAGAATGCAGATAATCTTGGCAAAACATCGATCTAAAATCAAAAATATCAAAAAAAACCACGAGGAAACATTGCGTTCTCATGCCCTGGATCCCCAAACTCCCACCAGCATGTCCCTACGCACCCATACAAGAAGCAGGTTGATATCCTATGATCATAGATGAGGTTTGACACAGCGGTGAGCGTTTGCCCAGGGCTCCTCGAAGTGGGACGCCTTTTCCGGCCATGCACATGGCAGAGTCTCGGCAGCAAAGGCACTCTGGAACAATTCAATTTGGCTGCAACCCAGGAGAATCCAACGTTTGACAATCAATCTACGGTAGAGATTGGAGTATTTAAAGTGCCTAGATTGAGTTAATCGAATCGCGGTGTGGGTCATCACAGGCTACTCTGCAACCAGCAGCCGCTCCCGCACTCAGATCCCCAGGTGCTTCCGAAGGTGCCAAGGGCAGGCTAACCAGAAGCATTCACCAGGTTCTGTGCAAGCACACCTTTCCACTTTCTATTTGAAAAACTCTCCCGTCTGTGGAATCCCCTTTTGAACAGCTTTTTTTGCCAGCGTAAACCAAATACCTATTAGATCCTATTAGATTATTGTTAGTGTAAACAATGAGCGCAACCAAAGAATCGTGATGAACTTCCAGAAAATCAACCATGAACCAAGCAAAATACATTGACATCACAGGCAATTCATGCAAAAGGATCTGAAACCACAGAGTGCGAGATTTGCTGGGAATATCGGGCAGCTATCGATAGTTCCATCCTGATCGCCCATGCTGGCAGCTTTGAACATCTGCCTCACTAAATCCTCTCTTCTCCGTTTCGGACATCAGCAGCGCCTTGAAGTCCTCGAAGTCATCGTCGGAGTCGAGCACTTGATACGACCAGGACAAGGCACATACACCGAAGTCGGGCAAGGCTGACAGTTTGGTACGGGAGCCAAGGCGCGTGGCCACCGAATCCAACAACTCGCCATGGTACACTTCAGCTTTGGCACAAGCCCAAACTACAACAGGCACTGTGAAACTGAAGTCCTTTCCTCTGAGATTTGGAAGTAAAGTGTTCAAACGTTCCGCCGCAGAACTCAGGATGTCATCCACGCCACCAACTTCAGGGACTGAATCACGAAGAAGGACAAGGGCCTCCAAGCTGTTGGACATTTCCTGGGGTTTCATGCCTTGGAGCTTTGCAGGGATTTCCCCAACAATTGCGGGCAACATGTCCAACACTTCGGGCACATCATCGTTGAGCTGTGCACATGCCAACAGGTTGTTAGACAAGTCTTGTGGGACCATCTTCTGCGCTTTTTTGGGTATTTGCATGACAATGGCCGGCACCGCCTCCAGTACTTCCGGCGCTTCATCCTTGAGCTGCCCCACTGCCCAGAGACAGTTGGACAAAGCTTGCTGAACCATGTCTGTTGCTATGATAGGGATCTGGGCCACAATGGCCGGCACTGCCTCCAAAACCCCGGGCGCAACCTCCTTGAGCTTGGCGCAGGCCCACAAAGTGTTTGAAAGGTTTTGTTCATCCATGCCTTTCACCTTGGTAGGCACAGATTTGACCAATGCAGCCAGGAGCTGAGTCGGAATGCTAAGTCGACCAGACAACTGCGCAATGCTCCAAAAAATATTGGCCGTTTCGCGCGCGCTCACTTGCTCTTCCAGCACCATATCTTCAACTCGGGCGTGCAGCCTGAGAAGCACTGGGCTATCCCACTCCCTTTGTTGCAGGCCTTTCCTTCTCTTCAAGGTGACCAGCTGGGTGTAGGCAGCTGATGCATGGAAAAAGTTGAAGATCGGGCCGTCCACCGCCCGGTCCAAAACCTCAATCAGCTTCTCAGCTGAATGCACTTTCTTGATGCCTGATGTCAACCTCCTTGCTTTCGCCTTGCCATCTGCATCCGGCTCCCCTCGAGTCGGCTGACCTGTTCCGCTGAACCTCTGGGCCACCTGCCCCTGACCATACCAGACCACGCCCAGCACGATGCTCAACTGGTGCAGCACATCAAAAAATAGCTGCCCCAGCGAGGCTGCACACAGCAGCAAGCAAGGCACGACACGATGAAAACGCCTGGGCCGCCTCGGCATGGCATCTGAAGTGGCCATGGCTTTGAATGATTTTGAATGGCTCAATACACAATATCGCCTGCACATACGCAATCCGTGCAGCAAAAAATGTCATTTCATATCCAGCAATGTTGATTGAATATATCCAAGGCCAATCCTAAAATTTTGTGTGTAAGCTTGGCGGTCTGACAGCTAAAGGGGTAGCAAAGGCACCCTTTAGGACCAGGTTCATATTGAACGCAGAGTGTTGGGCCTAAAGGTGAGAATGGCACATATTGCACTAGTGGCACTGAGCAAATGATGGGATTGGCATTCAAAAAAATGGCTGGCGATGGCTGGCGGCTCTTCGATCACGTAGCTGGCTCCAAAAGAAAGGATATTCCTGGCGAAACATCGATCTAAAATCCAAGAAATATGAAGAAACACCGAGGAAAAATTGCTTTCTCCTGCTGGCCCTGAATCCCCAAAACTCCAGCTGGCATGTCCTTACACACCCATATAGAAGAGGCAACCCCTTGATGTCTTTAGATCATATATGACTTTGACACAGTGGTGGGTGATTGCCCAAGGCTCCTCAGAATGCAATACCTTTTTCCGGCCATGCACGTGGCAGAGTCTTGGCAGCAAAGGCACTCTGGAACAATTCAATTTGGCTGCAACCCACGAGAATCCAACGTTTGACAATCAATCTACGGTAGAGATTGGAGTATTTAAAGTGCCTAGATTGAGTTAATCGAATCGCGGTGTGGGTCATCACAGGCTACTCTGCAACCAGCAGCCGCTCCCGCACTCAGATCCCCAGGTGCTTCCGAAGGTGCCAAGGGCAAGCTAACCAGAAGCATTCACCAGGTTCTGTGCAAGTACACCTTTCCACTTTCTACTTGAAAAACTCTCCCGTCTGTGGAATCCCCTTTTGAACAGCTTTTTTTGCCAGCGTAAACCAAATACCTATTAGATCCTATTATTGTTAGTGTAAACAATGAGGGCAACCAAAGAATCGTGATGAACTTCCAGAAAATCAACCATGAACCAAGCAAAATACATTGACATCACAGGCAATTCATGCAAAAGGATCTGAAACCACAGGGTGCGAGATTTGCTGGGAATATCGGGCAGCTATCGATAGTTCCATCCTGATCGCCCATGCTGGCAGCTTTGAACATCTGCCTCACTAAATCCTCTCTTCTCCGTTTCGGACATCAGCAGCGCCTTGAAGTCCTCGAAGTCATCGTCGGAGTCGAGCACTTGATAATCTTGATACGACCAGGACAAGGCGCATACACCGAAGTCCGGCAAGGCTGACAGTTTGGTACGGGAGCCAAGGCGCGTGGCCACCGAATCCAACAACTCGCCATGGTACACTTCAGCTTTGGCACAAGCCCAAACTACAACAGGCACTGTGAAACTGAAGTCCTTTCCTCTGAGATTTGGAAGTAAAGTGTTCAAACGTTCCGCCGCAGAACTCAGGATGTCATCCACGCCACCAACTTCAGGGACTGAATCACGAAGAAGGACAAGGGCCTCCAAGCTGTTGGACATTTCCTGGGGTTTCATGCCTTGGAGCTTTGCAGGGATTTCCCCAACAATTGCGGGCAACATGTCCAACACTTCGGGCACATCATCGTTGAGCTGTGCACATGCCAACAGGTTGTTAGACAAGTCTTGTGGGACCATCTTCTGCGCTTTTTTGGGTATTTGCATGACAATGGCCGGCACCGCCTCCAGTACTTCCGGCGCTTCATCCTTGAGCTGCGCACATGCAAAGAGGCAGTTGGACAGTTCTTGCGGGATCATGTCAGGTGCTTTGTCGGGGATCTGGGCGACAATGGCCGGCACCGCCTGCAAAACTTCGGGCGCAACATCCTTGAGCTGCCCAGATGCCCAAAGGCAGTTGGACAACTCCTGCGGTTTCATGTTCTTTGCTTTCTTGGGGATCTGCATGACGATGGCTGGCACCGCCTCCAAAACATCAGGCGCAACATCCTTGAGCTGCGCAGATGCCCAAATGCAGTTGGACAATGCTTGTGGGACCATGTCCTTTGCTCTTTTGGGGATCTGAGCCACGATGGCCGGCACTGCCTCCAAAACCCCGGGCGCAACCTCCTTGAGCTTGGCGCAGGCCCACAAAGTGTTTGAAAGGTTTTGTTCATCCATGCCTTTCACCTTGGTAGGCACAGATTTGACCAATGCAGCCAGGAGCTGAGTCGGAATGCTAAGTCGACCAGACAACTGCGCAATGCTCCAAAAAATATTGGCCGTTTCGCGCGCGCCCACTTGCTCTTCCAGCACCATATCTTCAACTCGAGCGTGCAGCCTGAGAAGCACTGGGCTATCCCACTCCCTTTGTTGCAGGCCTTTCCTTCTCTTCAAGGTGACCAGCTGGGTGTAGGCAGCTGATGCATGGGAAAAGTTGAGGATCGGGCCGTCCACCGTCCGGTCCAAAACCTCAATCAGCTTCTCAGCTGAATGCACTTTCTTGATGCCTGATGTCAACCTCCTTGCTTTCGCCTTGCCATCTGCATCCGGCTCCCCTCGAGTCGGCTGACCTGTTCCGCTGAACCTCTGGGCCACCTGCCCCTGAGCAGCCCTGGTCCCATACCAGACCACACCCAGCACGATGCTCAACTGGTGCAGCACATCAAAAAATAGCTGCCCCAGCGAGGCTGCACACAGCAGCAAGCAAGGCACGACACGATGAAAACGCCTGGGCCGCCTCGGCATGGCATCTGAAGTGGCCATGGCTTTGAATGATTTTGAATGGCTCAATACACAATATCGCCTGCACATACGCAATCCGTGCAGCAAAAAATGTCATTTCATATCCAGCAATGTTGATTGAATATATCCAAGGCCAATCCTAAAATTTTGTGTGTAAGCTTGGCGGTCTGACAGCTAAAGTGGTAGCAAAGGCACCCTTTAGGACCAGGTTCATATTGAACGCAGAGTGTTGGGCCTAAAGGTGAGAATGGCACATATTGCACTAGTGGCACTGAGCAAATGATGGGATTGGCATTCAAAAAAATGGCTGGCGATGGCTGGCGGCTCTTCGATCACGTAGCTGGCTCAAAAAGAAAGGATATTCCTGGCGAAACATCGATCTAAAATCCAAGACATATGAAGAAACACCGAGGAAAATTTGCTTTCTCCTACTGGCCCTGGATCCCCAAAACTCCAGCTGGCATGTCCTTACACACCCATATAGAAGAAGCAATCCTTTGATGCCCTTTGTTGATAGATGATTTTGACACAGCGGTGGGTGATTGCCCAAGGCTCCTCAGAGTGCAACGCCTTTTTCTGGCCACGCACTTGGCAGAGTCGGTGCAGCAAAAGCATTCTGGAAGAATTTGAGGTGGCTGCAGCCCACGAGAATGAAATGTCTGGCCATCAATCTGGTATTCCGAAAAATTGCCTAGACTGTCACAACATGACACAACACGCAAAAGTTGATAGGATCACAGTGTGGGTCATCACAGGCTACTCAGCAACCAGCAGCCGCTCCTGCACTCAGATCCCCAGCTGCGTCTGAAGGAGCACTCTTGGAAACCGGTGCTAAGGGCAGGCTGACCAGAAGCATTCACCACTTCAGGTTCTGCGCAAGCGCACCTTTCCACTTTCTGTTTGAAAAACTCTCCCGTCTGTGGAATCCCGCTTTGAGCAGCTAGTTATTGCTCCTGGCTTAAACCAAATGCCTATTATTGTTGGTGTAAGCGATGAAAGCAACCAAAGAATCGTGATCAACTTCCAGAAAATCAACCATGAACCAGTATACATTGACATGACATACCATTCACGCATAATGTAAAGGATCTGAAACCACAGAGTGCGAGATTTGCTGGGAATATCTGGCAGCTATCGATAGATCCACTCTGATCGCCCAAACTGGCAACATTGCACAGCTCCATCACTAAATCCTCTCTTCTCCGTTTCGGACCTCAGCAGCCTCTTGAAGTCCTCGAAGTCATCGTCGGTGTCGAGCACTTGATACGACCAGGACAAGGCGCATACACCGAAGTCCGGCAAGGCTGACAGTTTGGTACGGGAGCCAAGGCGCGTGGCCACCGAATCCAACAACTCGCCATGGTACACTTCAGCTTTGGCACAAGCCCAAACTACAACAGGCACTGTGAAACTGAAGTCCTTTCCTCTGAGATTTGGAAGTAAAGTGTTCAAACGTTCCGCCGCAGAACTCAGGATGTCATCCACGCCACCAACTTCAGGGACTGAATCACGAAGAAGGACAAGGGCCTCCAAGCTGTTGGACATTTCCTGGGGTTTCATGCCTTGGAGCTTTGCAGGGATTTCCCCAACAATTGCGGGCAACATGTCCAACACTTCGGGCACATCATCGTTGAGCTGTGCACATGCCAACAGGTTGTTAGACAAGTCTTGTGGGACCATCTTCTGCGCTTTTTTGGGTATTTGCATGACAATGGCCGGCACCGCCTGCAAAACTTCGGGCGCAACATCCTTGAGCTGCCCAGATGCCCAAAGGCAGTTGGACAACTCCTGCGGTTTCATGTTCTTTGCTTTCTTGGGGATCTGCATGACGATGGCTGGCACCGCCTCCAGAACATCAGGCGCAACATCCTTGAGCTGCGCACATGCCCAAATGCAATTGGACAATGCTTGTGCATCCATGTCCTTTGCTCTTTTGGTGATCTGGGCCACAATGGCTGGCACCATTTCAAGCACAATGGATGCAACATCCCGAAGCCTTGCAGAGGCCCACATGCAATTCGACAACTCTTGTGGTTTCATGCCTTTCACCTTGGTAGGCACAGATTTGACTAAGGCAGCCAGAAGCTGGGTTGGTATGCTGAGCTGATTTGCCAACCGCGCAATGCTCCACAACACATTGGCTAAAGCCCGCGCTTCCAGCTGGTCTTCCCCCATCATGTGTTCAACTCGGGTGTGCAACCTGAGAAGCACTGGGCTATCCCAATCCCTTTGTTGCAGGTCCCTTTTCCGTTTCAACCTTGCCAGCTGGGTGTAGGCAGCTGACGCATGGAAAAAGTTGAAGATCGGGCCATCCACTGCCCCATCCAAAACCTCAATCAGCTTCACAGCTGAATACGCTTTCTTGATGCTTGATGTCAACCTCCTGGCTTCCACCTTGCCATCTGCATTGAGCTCCCCTCGAGCCTGTTGACCTTTCTGACTGAACCTCTGGGCCACCTGCCTCTGAGCAGCCCTCGTCCCATGCAAAGCCACGCCCTGCACGAAGCTCAAACGGTGCAGTGCATCAAACACCACCAGCCAGGCTGCGCACAGCAGCAAGCAAGGCACGGCACGATGAAAAAGCCTGGGCCGGCGAGGCATGGCGTCTGAAGTGGCCATGGCTTTGAATGATTTTTTTGAATGGCTCAATACACATATCGCTTGTACATACACAATCCGTGCAGCAAAAAAAGTCATTTCACAGGCAGCAGTGTTGGTATGTGTTGATTGTCCAAGGCCAACCCTATTTTTTTTAGTGTAAGCTTGGCGGTCTGACAGCTAAACTGGTAGCAAAGGCACCCTTTAGGATCAGGTTCTTATTGAAGTAAAGGATTCCCTCATTAACTTTTAGTGTTCTGCCAAGTGTTCGCCTTTCCGAAGGTGAGAATGGCACATATGGCACTGAGCCCACGATGGCATCCAAAAAATGGCTGGCGGTTCTTTGATCACGTCGTTCGCTCAAAAAATGCAGATAATCATTGAGAAACATCGATCTAAAGTCCCAAAAAATTGAAAAAACATCGTGGAAACATTGCTTTCTCATGCTGGCCCTGGATCCCCAAAACTCCGGCTGGCATAACCCTATGCAATCATATCCAAGAAGCAATCCCATTCAACCCCTTGATGTCTTTATTTCATAGATGACTTTGCCATAGTGGTGGGTGATTGCCCAGGGCTCCTCAGAATGCAATACCTTTTTCCGGCCATGCACGTGGCAGAGTCTCGGCAGCAAAGAAACTCTGGAACAATTCAAGGTGGCTGCAACATGCTGCAACCCACGAGAATCCAACGTTGGACATCGTTTGACAATGAATCTACGGTAAAGATTGATAACGATCGCTGGCCCAAAAAAATGCATAGACATGCATAGACTGTCACAACATGTCACAACACTCAAGAGTTAACAGAATCACAGCGTGGGTCACCACAAGCTACTCTGCAACCAGCAGCCGCTCCTGCACTCTGATCCCCAGGTGCGTCCGAAGGAGCACTCTTAGAACCCGGTGCTAAGGGCAGGCTGACCAGAAGCATTCACCAGGTTCTGTGCAAGCACACCTTTCCACTTTCTATTTGAAAAACTCTCGCGTCTGGAATCCCGCTTTGAACGGCTATTTTTGCCAGCGTAAACCAAATACCTATTAGATTAGTGTTAGTGTAAACAATGAGGGCAACCAAAGAATCGTGATGAACTTCCAGAATATCAACCATGAACCAAGCAAAATACATTGACATCACAGGCAATTCATGCAAAAGGATCTGAAACCACAGAGTGCGAGATTTGCTGGGAATATGTGGCAGCTATCGGAAGCTATCGATAGTTCCATCCTGATCGCCCACGCTGGCAGCTTTGAACATCTGCCTCACTAAATCCTCTCTTCTCCGTTTCAGACATCAGCAGCGCCTTGAAGTCCTCGAAGTCATCGTCGGTGTCGAGCACTTGATACGACCAGGACAAGGCACATATACCAAAGCCCGGCAAGGCTGACAGTTTGGTACGGGAACCAAGGCGCGTGGCAACCGAATCCAACAACTCAACATCGTACACTCCGGCTTTGGCACAGGCCCAGACTACAACTGGCACTGTGAAACTGAAGTCCCTGCCAAAGAGTCTTGGAAGTAAAGTGTTCAATCGTACCGCTGCAGACCTGAGGATGTCATCAATACCACCACCAGCTGCGAGAAAACCTGCAACTTCAGGAACTTGGTCTTGAAGAAGGACAAGGGCCTCCACGCTGTTCGACAACGCTTGTGGGACCATGTCGTTGATCTTCAACGAGATTTCCACCACTATGGCTGGAATAATCTCTGACACCTTGGGCACTTCATCCTTGAGCTGCGCAGATGCCCAAAGGCAGTTGGACAACTCTTGCGGTTTCATGTCCAGTGCTTTGTCGGGGATCTGGGCGACAATGGCCGGCACTGCCTCCAAAACATCAGGCGCAACATCCTTGAGCTGCCCAGATGCCCAAAGGCAGTTGGACAAATGCTGTGGAATCATGTCGTTTGCTTTATTGGGGATCTGGGCGACAAGGGCTGGCACCGCCTTCAAAACATCACGCGCAACCTCCTTGAGCTGCGCAGATGCCCAAAGACAGTTGGACAAGTGTTGGGCGTCCATGTCCTTGGCTTTCTTCGGAATCTGGGCCACAATGGCTGGCACCATCTCAAGCACCATGGGCTCAACATCCATGAGCTTTGCACATGCCCAGAGGCAGTTGGACAGTGCTTGTGGGACCATTCCCCTCACCTCACTGGGCACAGACCTGACCAATGCAGCCAGGAGCTGGGTTGGTATGCTGAACCGCTCAGACAACTGCGCAAGGCTCCAGAAAACATTGGCCGTTTCGCGGGCCCCCAGCTGGCCTTGCAGCACCATATCTTCGACCCTGGAATGCAGCCTCAGGAGCACCGGGCTATCCCAATCCTCTTGTTGCAGGCACCTCCTTCTTTTCAAGGTGACCAACTGGGTGTAGGCAGCTGATGCGTGGATAAAGTTGAAAATGGGATCATCTACAGCCTCATCCAAAATCTCCCTAAGCTTCTGGGCAGATGTCGCTTGCTTTAGGTTGGATGTCAACTTCCTTGCTTCTCCGTCCACATCTGGTTGCTTCCCGGACAAAGCTTGGCAGTTTTGACCCGACCTTTCTCGCAAGTGGCCCTTGGTGGGTCCATGCCATTGCCAACTTACACCCTGCACGAAGCTGTTCTGCCGCTGCTGCGCCCGCGCCACCAGCCATGTCAGGCATAGCAGCACCGGAAACAAAAGGCAACCAGGACTCAGACGCCTGGGCCGCCTGGGCGCGATGGCGGAAGTGGCCATGGCGGAGAATGGCTTTTCCCCAACACTTGGAACTCTGCTGTCAAGCATTCTGTTAAAGTGAGATCGATTACCTTTTCCTCTGAATGACTAGGATAGTTCAAGGGTGCCTTTTTCTGTTCAACCATGGAACGGATGAAATGTCGCGTGTCTCATGGTGTCTGTTGCTTTGAGCCCATGCTTTCATGGGTCGCCAGTTGGAATATATGAGCACGTCCTCCAGAGTGATAAACCATTCAGCTGCTATGACCAACATGTCAAGCATGGCCAAGCAGAGTGAGGCAGAAAACATGCATAGATTGAGCTGCCGCAGCTTCCCAACTTGCACCTGATAGGGATATCGATTTCGCAGCATTCGCGGCACCTGCAGTATGGCAGGCCGTAGGCCCAAGATACCCTGATGATACCTGACTTGGTAGTGGCTTGTCTGGAAATGGAAAACCCATCAGTTGCCTCAAAATCAACCAAACCAAAGTGCCAAAACACCAGCCAGCTAAAATGAGATGTTCCTCATTTAGCCGATTAAAAATCTAAGTGCAAAGTCGGTGCCTCATTTTTCCATCTATTTATATATTGCATGCTATCAAACTCTGAGAGTAAGATGGATCCGCCATTTGGAGGTTTCCAATCCATGGGGGTAACCCCAAATCATTCATTTTAACAGCATTTTCCACGACAAACCATCCAGCTATTGGGGTACCCCCATTTATCTGGGTAAATTATATAGTATTTCACTAACCTGAATTAAGGCCATTTGGGGATGATCCCCCTAAAAAAATAAACCATGATTCCCAGTGACGTCGCAGTGAGGTCGTTATAATATACCCAGATTTATGGAAAGCCACATTTCAACACAATGCCCACGCCCAGCCTGTGGCGACGCCGAACCAGACGAGGACTCAGACCAGAGCGGCTCAATCTCAAGCCTTCGAAGGCAGCAGGTGCTGACTGGGGGCAGGTTTCAGCACGGATTGCCGGTGATGTACGGTTCGAGACTTTCGAAAAAGAGATGGTGGATGATCCAAAAAGAAAGGGGACTTGGGTTTACATATTAGCCTCTGGTTATTTAACATAGCTATGAGAAATGGCCCGTTTATAGATGATAATTTGTATTGATTTATGATGATTAACCTATTAATAATGGTGATTTTCCATAGCTACATTAAATTACCAAAGGGCAAAATGTTGTTTGTAGAGAACCTGTTTCAGCTTAGCAGGGATGATGATTCCCAGCCTCTGGGCTGCTGAGCCTGGGCAAAACCTGAAGGGCCAGAGGAGGTCACAATTGTCACAAGACCCACAGCCGCGTATCCAATTGCCGGTTCCAAAGAACCTTCTGAAAGCAACTTACCAGAGTAACCTCCTTAAAAAAGCTATCTTGGAAATAGTCAACTGAGGCTTACGCAGGATATTCGGCATGCATAGGGTAAGGACTTCCCCGTCCCAGGTGCCAAACGATGCTCTTCCGAGATGGGGATGCTTTCAGGCCTGCAACAACACAGCTTAGGGCGGCGGTGGGATGGAGGTGACCGGGTGGCTCAAAGGATTCTGGTACCCCTAATTTTTGATCTGGTTGGTGGTTGAGCCACCCCTCTGAAAAATATGAGTTCGCCAGTTGGGATGATTATTCCCAATATATGGAAAAATAATCCAAATGTTCCAAACCACCAACCAATGATTTGCTTCAACTATAACCAAATGGTGGACGTTGGTTTTAAACAAATCGCTTCGTGGATGATTTTTCGAAGGACTAACTATCTAGATTCGATGGAGAACATGCGCACCACCTGCAGGTCTCCCCAAGCCAGTGAACATTAAAATAGGAGTCCTTGCAAGATTTGCGACATGCACATCAACCATCATCAACCTGCCCACGCATCAATCTACCCTATATATTTTAGGCCCCTCACACATCACATGGAGCCCCAATGCTGGGTCAACGGATTATTCCATAACCAAAACATATTATTCTGTAACCAAAACGTATTATTCCTCAACCAAGGATTATTCCATAAACAAAACGTATTATTCTTCAACCATGAAGTGTTATTCCTCAACCAACGATTATTCCACAACTAAGACGAAATATTCTTTAACCAAACCGTATGATTCCTCAACCAACAATTATTCCATAACCAAAACAGGTTTTTCCAAAACCAAAAGGGATTTGAACCAAACCAAGACATGAACTGCTCTAACCCAAGTTCCGGTCGCATCTTCTAAGAAGCGGGGCTGCTGGCTGAATACTTAAATTTGATTTATTGGTTTGCGGGGGTGGGGGGATTTTTAAGTTTCTTGTAGCTTGTCCAGAATCTTCTATAATGAAAGTAAGTAGCGGTAGTCTTCCCTAGGAAGCAGGGCTGCTTGCTGAAGACTTGAATTTGATGTATTGTTTTGCGGGGGTGGGGGATTTTTTTATGTCTTGTAACTTGTCAAGAATCTTCTATAATGAAAGTAAGTAGCGGTAGTCTTCCCTAAGAAGCGGGGCTGCTTGCTGAAGACTTAAATTTGATCTATTGTTTTGCGGGGGTGGGGGATTTTTAAGTTTCTTGTAGCTTGTCCAGAATCTTCTATAACGAAAGTAAGTAGCGGTAGTCTTCCCTAAGAAGCGGGGCTGCTGGCTGAATACTTAAATTTGATCTATTGTTTTGCGGGGGTGGGGGATTTAAGTTTCTTGTAGCTTGTCAAGAATTTTCTACAATGAAAGTAAGTAGCGGCAGTCTTCCTGGTGGAATCAATAGTTGTTAGTTGTAGAATCGCGAGATTTTGGTTGTGGAATCCTGAGGTTTTGGTTGTGGAATCGTGGGAGTTTGGTTGTGGAATCCTGAGATTTTGGTTGTGGAATCGTGGGAGTGTGGTTGTGGAATCCTGGGAACGTAGTTGTGGAATCGCGCTTTGTTCCCCAAGGTCGCCAGTACCGAAAGCAAGGCCATCCAACCCTCTGCTAACCTGGCAAAAACATAAAATCCATGAAAACCCTCTGAAATAAGCATTTGGATGAGGATTTTACATTGCCAAGTGTAGAATACCGGATCTCCGGAGATTAAAAACATTTGAAAGTCCTGGCGCCTCACGTTGCTGGCGCCTCAGATGGGCGGAGGAGGTGGGTTGAGCGAAATGTAGGAATGTAGGATGCCCTGAAAGTCAAAGGACTCATTTTGCCCGCCATGGTGTAAATAAATCAACAATTAGCCAGGGGTAAATTGAGTCTCTTGGCTTGAAGCAAGATTTTGGAATAGTGCCCCCGCCTGAAGGATAAAAATGAAACATGTTCAAGACCACCTTGATCCATGAGGCACGAAAACTGGAGGGACAGGACTCATGATACTCATGTGAAGCCGAAGCAAGGGAATCCCAACATATAGGATTTTAATTCCTATTTTCCATATATCACCATATAGGATTTGATTATAATTATAATGATACTCATGATACTATGAAATCATTTTCCAGGCGCCCTAATCAAACTCTGTGCTGCCGCGGAGCTGACATAGGTTGCCACGTAAGCACCTTGACGGGTTTCTTGGTTGGGCAACCCATTCAAAAAAATGTTGAGCATAAATTTGGCATCACAGGCAGGATCGAAAGGTATTGAAAGCAAGAACCACCTAGGAATCTACGAAGCAGATTTCTGCGTGAGAAAGCTAGGCTCTTGAACGAAGCTGTCTAAGTCTAAGAAGTGTGCCTTCAAATCTTGTCAATGCAAGCAGTTTAAAGATCAATCTTCACTTCAGTCTCCAAAAATCTCCACCTGCAAGTCCAAGACACATTGGTGCTGATCGTAGTACACGCGCGCAGGCATCACCGACATGGAAAAACCCAGCTTCTTCCTGCGTGGCAAAATTGCAACTGTGGTCCGATGCGGCCCGAAGCAACCAGTCAACCTTAATGAGTGCATAGGGAAAGTTCCACTTCTGGGAGACTACGTAAAGATGAAGAACATCTATTACAAGAAACTAGGAGGGTTAGCAATTCACGCCAGAATAAGGCAAGGATGAACATGTTGAGTAACTGCCATTGTGGAATCAGACACTCAAGAAACACTGAGGACAGCCTGATACATTTCAACTCTGGCATAGTCAGTGATGGAATGCATGCTTTTGGTATGTTTCTCTGTATGGGGATTGGTTCAAATCCTGTACGTATCCTGTACCCCAGGTGCACATCAAAATAGCTGGTAATCAAATATTCATCCAACAAAAAAGCCTCCAAAAACTGTGATAACTCTGCTTGTAGGTATTGAATGGTATTGATCCATAGCCATATCTTGAACGTTAGTACCGGATTTTGAGCCACTGAACACTTCCCCGCCCAAAGCTCACTCCACGTCTCAAGTGCTTCCCAGCATCTCACGCTCAAAAATTTCCAATGGAAAATCGATTTGCCCTCTCCTTGGGACACCGCTGCTTCAGCATCAAATGCACGAAACATGCACCCTCACCCAGAGAACCGTTGGTTATTGGAATGGTTTAGGGGAATGTTCCAGAAAAAACCTATATCTAAGTCAGAATCCATTGATCCACTCCATTCCACTCCGGCAACAAATCGTATCCCTCAGGCGACTTGCAAAACGGGCCATGCCGTGGCAATGGAAACATGCAGTTTATACACAGGCTGCCCTAACACGCTCCCAGAATACCATGGAGATATACATATACAGTGTCCCTATATCCATGGTGCCGTCTGTTGAGTTTGATCCGGCAAATTTTAACTACTTTTCAATTTAATCGCCAAAAACATCACAATGCATAGCTGATCTGGGTACTTCATAGGAAACCCAGAACTCCCAAACCTGATTTATCCACATTTAAAGCGAGTCTTTGGACATTTCCGCCATTTTCCCTCACCTTGTGACAAGGCCATCATCACATCATACCAAGCGGCAGGGTCTGCCAGTACATCGCGCACCATGCCTGTCGGATGAGTGGGGGGAATGTCATGCTGCCTGGGTAAGTTGAGAATGGGGTAGCTCATTGGTGGATATGGTCCTTCTTCGGAGTACT